TGACTAAAATATAAGGTATATTTTTATTAGGTCTCATTTGGGTGTCTAATGTTAGAATTAGTCAACTCAATTCAAAACCAACTTTTCCAACTAGATGATGAATATGTTGGATTTTTTAAAATCCTTTTTTTGAGTTAACTGAGTAGCCAAACGTGGCCTTGAAGAGGTTCCTTGTCCACTTTTGATCTGGTAATTGAAGCTAACAGTATATTTGAGGATTAATTTTAGTTGCCTTTGGTGATTTGGGATGAAAGCTATTATCTTTTTGGTGTTTACTGTTTCTGTTTTGTTTGTTATTGACTTCAACAATAATTGTATTTCTAAAAAGCTTGTGTTTTTATGGTTGATTTATTAAGTGACAAAAGTGAAAATTATGATTCTGCTTTTGGTTCTTGATGAGCTTGAGAATTAGTTCAAGTTGAGAATATAATCCTTCTTGATTAAGGAGGTACAACTGTTTGAAGGTACGGAGTTGGGTCAGCGACTAGGCTAAGGGACGGAGTTTGACCTGATTTTCTTTAATAGGTAGCTGAGTGTTGTCGCACTTTACCTGGTAGAGGCCAGGTAGCTAGCCTCCTCTCTTCTTCCCCTTATTAGTAGTATTATTATTTTCGTAATCAAGCAATTCCTTATTTTTCAATGTGTATTACAGTGTTAGTATTATTTGTTACTTCATGTGTTTTGTATCTTGCTATTTTGTTGTTATGGGTTTCGCTACCTGTTCCATTAATTTCTCTTTTGAGCTAAGGGTTTATTGGAAACAACTTCTCTACTCCACAAAGATAGGTAGGGGTAAGCTCTGGGTACACCCTACCAGGGGAAGAGCTAGAAGCCTAGAAACTTTTGTTCAAATAGTACTGTATTTGTATTAAGAAGTTTATTAAATATGGACAAATATTAAGTTTAGAACCCATTTATTGACACTTGAAATCGTAGTTGTAAATTTCAGAACCCATAAGGTTAAAAGTTTGGTTTTGCCTCGGTTGACCCTGCCCTCCCTAGACCCCAATTGTCGGATTACACGGGGTATGTTGTTGTTTACTCGTGCTGTTTTATTGTGTTACTCAAGTACTGAGTTATTGTGAAATAGATAGAAAAATACTATGTGGCAATACTGAATTTGGGATTTGAAAATTATCCAGGGACAGTGTTGTGCTTTCTTTACTCAGGGTGCTGCTTGAACATGGGCTCTATAATTCGATATCATAATCTGTTTGAGACTAGACGACTAGTAAGTCTATTGGGCGTGGTTTTTGGCCTTGCTTTGATGATTCAGTATTTTGGTTTTCCATATGGTTATGCCCTGTCTTCTTTGTTTACTGCCAATGGGGGTCAAATAAGCAGCTCGCAAAGAGTAGATCAATCTGGCAACTTCAGTAGGTCAGACAACTTGAAACATGGTAGCGTTGTGAATGCTACTAACACAAATCTTATTAATGAAACTAAGCTCTCTGATGCAAATGATGAAGAGGTAGAGGATGGTTCTATGCCTCCAATGAATGAACGTTCTGGTGATACCTTAACTGAGGACGTTGACCCTGAGGATGAATCCCCTTTTAAGGATTCAAAACTGGACAACAAGTCAAATGTGGAAAGTTTAGGAAGAAATAGTAGCTTACCTCCAGATAAGGCTGCCGACTCTGAAGATGATTTACAAGCTTCAAATAGTACATCTGAAAGTTCTTTATTGCGTGTGGTTGATACTGATGGGGGAGGCAGTATTTCTCCAGCGCCGACGGAAGCTAAGTTGTTGGAGATAAGTCCCACAGCATTGTCTATTGCACCACCACCATTGGTTGTAACACCACAGGTCAATCTTGATGCAAAGAAAGAAGCTCCTTTGATATCTTCCTACCAGAACATATCTGAAAAAGAAGGAAATACAGGCCATCTACTTGAAAGTGATAACTTACCTGTGCAAAAACGCACTGACCATGCTCCTACAGCCAGTCATAAATTTCCTGAAATGAAGGAGTCTAACAAGCCAATAGATAGTGTTGTATCAATAGCTGAAATGAATGTTATGCAGCAAGAAACTCGCACATCATTTCGTTCGATGGTATGTATACATGTTACTTTGGTACTCTCCTAGTCGGATATGACTCGTGTAATTGGCGAATGAATTCTTAGATATTATAGTTATGTTCTTTTGATCTTTTCTGTAGAAACCACGGTGGTCCTCAGATGTAGATCAAGAACTACTACATGCAAAAAGTGTCATTGAGAATTCTCCTCTAGCAGGAAATGAACCTGGCTTATATGCTCCTTTGTATAGAAATTTGTCAATGTTTATGAGGTAATAGAATATGGTGATGCATATGATGAATCCACCCCTTGTGTAATCTGGATGTTTTCTGACATTGGAGGTGTATTCGGTAGTACTGAATTAGATTAGACATTTGTGCTTCGTTACTCATCAAACAATAGTTATGCTTTGTGGGAGCTGCTATATTTCGATATTTTAGTTTCAATCATAATGAACACCTTTCTTGGTGAATCCAGTGAATTTCTTGCTTGCTATGAGCCAGTCGTCTGTTGCATATACTGAATTTCGGTAAATAGTCATAATAGGAAGATGCTTTCTTGCATACTTTATACAGTTCCTTACAAATGGAGCACCCAACGACAGGTGGGGAACACAGACCTCAGTCTCCTACCTTAAGTTTTTTAGTTTGAGATACATGAGATTTTCTGTTAGTTATCTCATTGTAATTGGTGGCATTTGTGGCTTTACATTTACTTTGTCTTTTAATATGGTTGAGGTGAATTTTTCTGATCTGACATACATCATGTAAGTGTAGGAGCTATGAATTGATGGAGCAGATTCTCAAAGTTTACATTTATACAGAAGGTGCAAGACCAGTATTCCATACGCCAGTGCTTAAAGGAATATATGCTTCTGAGGGTTGGTTTATGAAGCTCCTTAAAAGAAACAAGAAATTTGTTACCAAGAACCCCAAAAAGGCTCACTTGTTTTATCTGCCGTTCAGCTCCCGTATGCTAGAGGAGACCTTATATGTCCCTGATTCTCACAGTCGTAGGAACTTAGTTCGATATTTAAGTGATTATCTCGACATCATTATCCAAAGACATAATTTTTGGAACAGGACTGCTGGAGCTGACCATTTTCTTGTTGCCTGCCATGATTGGGTAAGTTTTGGATTCTTCCATTAACCGGAGTTCCTAAACGGTATTACAACATCCAATTTGATTCTCATAGATTTTATTTTATCCATCAGTCAAGATCTTTTGTTTTCCTATTTAATGGAATGCTTTGCTGTGTGCACCATTTTTCCGCATTGAGGCTTATTTTTCTGCATGTGTACATGCAAGCTCATCTTATAATTTCGGTGTAAAAGATATATCTACATTCTTTTTATAGTTAAGATATATGAATTTCTGTCGTATACTGAAGCGGAGATTTGTTTCCTCAGGCCCCTGCAGAAACAAAAAGAATCATGGCTAATTGCATAAGAGCATTGTGCAATGCTGACATTAAAGAAGGCTTCCAATTCGGTAAAGATGTATCGCTTCCAGAAACATATATACGTGCAGAAAAGAATCCCCTTAGAGAAATTGGGGGAAAACGTCTTTCTAAGAGACGAACTCTTGCTTTCTTTGCTGGCAACATGCATGGTTACCTTCGTCCTATCCTATTGAACAACTGGGAAAACAAAGATCCTGACATGAAGATTTTCGGCAAGATTAGTAAAGTAAGCTATGTCCAATACATGAAGAGTAGCAAATACTGCATATGTGCAAAAGGTTATGAAGTCAATAGTCCTCGAGTGGTGGAAGCCATTTTCTACGAGTGTGTCCCAGTGATAATATCTGACAATTTCATACCCCCATTTTTCGAGACTTTGAACTGGGAGGCTTTTGCTATTTTTGTTCCAGAAAAGGACATTCCAAAACTGAAAGACATACTCGTATCGATCCCTGATAGGAGATATCGTGAGATGCAGCGGAGGGTTAAGTTGGTGCAGCAGCATTTCCTTTGGCACGTCAAGCCCGTAAAGTACGATATTTTTAACATGATTCTCCATTCGATATGGCACAACAGAGTTTTTGGAGTAAGAACTAAGTGACAAATGTACACATTTAGATAGTTTCAGAGTTTTAGATGTTTAATTAGTGCAGCAATCGTTTGAGAAATATGTAATAAGTTGCATCAATGTATCTGATTATTTCCTGTACATAGACTTGAGAAGATATAATTTGTTCTTTCTTTTTCTAGCATCTCTACTTGTTTCTTCTCTTATTTGGACAAAACTATACTAAAACTTTGTGCTTTACTAGTGTTGCTGTACTATACTAGAAACATTTGGCAGACCAAAGCGGCAACCCAGTGCACTAAAGCTCCCGGTATGTGCAGGATCCGCGATCACAAGGGCCTAGTGTACGCAACTTTACCTTGCATTTCTCCAGAGGCTATTTCAAGGCTTGAACCCGTGACCTTCTAGTCACATGTTAGCTACTTCACCAATAGAACATGGGTTGCAGTATAATTATTGATTTATGCAAAATATCTTTAGGTGAACTTTGGTGATCATACAGAGTGATGGAAAATGATTGCCGACTTTTTGGGAATTCAGTACTCAATCATTCACCTTATAACAGTGGCCAAAGCAATTTGCAAAATAATTCATTTTGTCTTCTAGACTTTTGGTCATCATAATGACCCATTTTCTGTTCCTCTTTACATTTCTTAACAAAAACAGTTTATTCTTTGTCCAACTTATCATGCTGTCAAGATGATATAGTTGCAGTGGATGAGGCCAATAGGGTTTTAACACACAACCTTAAGGAGCTTTTGCAATCCCTTAATCATTAGATTAAATCTTACACTTATGTCAAAATGTGTCAATATTTATATATATATAGTTGTAAACCAAAATTTTACATTGTAATTTTCCTGCGAAGGGGTGGGCCCGCCCTGTTATAGGCTCATGCCCTAAAGTACTACGTCCAATTCAAAATACTGTATATATTAATAGGTCAATGGCTAAAATACCCTCAACCTAAATTTTAAAGACAAAAAACTGCTACGTTGATACCACTTTTTTTACTCACATTTTCTACTATGTAGCCAACGCTGAAGCTGATGAATTCTGTAAGATGTCTTCCTTTTTCTTTTCACTTTCTTGCTTTTCCTTCTTCACTACCTCTCAATTGTATGGTGTCTCTGGATTTGGCCTTTTCATGTGTGTGCCTATATTTTAGTTCTACTGTACTTGATGCCAGAAATTAGAAAGAAACAACAATTGTTGTGTTTCCCTTACTTTTGATCAACTCTCTTCAGTAGCAAAATCCCTCCTTTCTTTTCTTGGTAGTTGATTATTTAGTGTTTGTTTAATGTTATAAGAAAATTTAAATATTGCTGCAGAGTTCTGATTGAATTTTGAATCAAAGTTCTTCTACTGCAAAATTACCATCACTCCTCAAGTAATCCCTCCGTTCCAATTTGTTTGACTTAATACGGAATTTGAGAAAATAAAGAAGACATTTGAATTATGTGGTCTTTTAAGCTAAAGATGTGTAGAGTGTATAAGTTAAAATTAAATAGTTGTGGAAAAAAGCATTCTAAAGAGGTAACAAATTGAAATAGAGAGAGTATCATTCAAGAATGAGTGAATCTTAAAAATTAAGAGGAGTGCTATGTTGGATGCTAAATTTGGAATTGCAAAATTGTCCAGGGAATTGAGTGATTTGCTTGAACATGGGAACTGAAGTTCGATATGCAAGTTTCTTGGGGACTAAAAGACTGCTATGGCTAGTGGCATCCGTTTTTGTTATGGTTTTGATCATTCAATATTTCGGATTTCCAAACATAGATGTTGTCCCCTCATTATTTTCTTCCAGCAAAGGTCAAGTAGCATTTTTAGGCAGCTTTCAATCTGGAGAGTTATCTGGTAATTCTAATATATCGGGAAACCTGACGTTTGCTAGTGGTTTGAACACTACTGCCTCAAATGTTGTTCATGAAGGAACAGCCAAAACTGAGCTGTCAAAGACAAATGATGCAACCGTTGAAGACTCAAATGCTACCATGATTGAAGATACTGAAATTGAAGACAAATTTCCACTGCAGGTTGCTTTTGGTTCTGAATTTGTTATGCCAACATCTGAAAATAATTTTGTACTAGATAGGCCTGATAAAGACGACATAGCTCACAGAGTGGCAAGAAATGAAACGATAGACGACAATCCTATAATCACAACTGCTGCACCTTTGGCAATGGTTATCTCTCCTTTGACATCTTCCATCCAAAACCAATCAACAGATCATTCTTGCCTGAGGAATATTCCTGCTGTGATTGAAAGGTCTGACCGAGCAAGAAAAAGTGTGGCATCAATATCTCAAATGAATTATATGCTGCAAGAAAGTCAAACTTCATTTTGTTCAATGGTATGTCGGGGCTTCAGTTCAGTTTTATCAAGGGGAATGATTTCATTAGTTCATTTATACAGCTTTGCACTTTCTCTTGTCCCTGATTGAACTTACTTTTTCATAGAAACCACGATGGTCCTCGGTTGTAGATCAAGAACTATTACGTGCAAAATTTCTAATCGAGAATGCGCCTCTCTTAAAGAGTGAGCCTGGATTATATGCCCCTCTATTTAGAAATCTGTCCATGTTTAAAAGGTTAGCAACTCCATAGTTGTGGATTTTGTTCATGTTGATATGATATTTCGTTCTTATCCAAGAACTGTGTTGTAATCCAATGACTTTTCTGGAAGTTGCACACTATTGAAAACAATTATCTTTCCGCGTTACATCATGAAAGTGCAAGCTTTATGCAGTTAAACTATTGAAATAGATTCCTCTACTCACCAATTGAATAACCTGTATTGTATAATTGCTATGGAAGTATCGTAGTTGAGGTATTAACCTGTAAATTATCAGGATTGATAGTAAGATTTATCTTTTAAGAGCTTGGACCTTCTATTTGTTTCATGTCCTTCTAAGAGTTGGTTACACTATTAGTACTATATCAAGCCATGGATGACACATCTGTGAAGAAGATTTTGAAACTTCTTGAGTAATATTACTAGGTTTTGAGGTGTTAATATGGTAATAATCCTATAATTTTCTTCTTATTCTGTCAACCATATAGAAATACCAAAGTATCACTTTTTCCTTTTCCCGATCCATTGAAACCATTTGTGTGTATTGAGACAATTTACCTGTATATGATCTTCATTCCAATCATCGTAGTTCTATTGATCAACTATATGATGTGTGACTTCCTGTAGAATGTGTGATTCATTGAGATTATCCTTCTCCTTAAACATGGCTCTTTTGATCTGTTTTTATTTGGTGTTTTGGAGCTCGTTGTCCCTGAGTTTCAAATGCACAAAAGTTTGAATACATTTGCTTGCTTGTTAGGATGCTCACACTACCATACACCCGAAAAATTAAGAAATGAGAAATAAAGGGAAAGAAACATAACAAAGTATCAATGCTTGAAGCTGATTCAACTATCAAATGTATACAAAATGCAGGAGTTATGAATTGATGGAGAAGACTCTCAAGGTTTACATCTATGCTGAAGGGGAAAGACCCATATTCCATTCCGGACCTCTCGATGGAATATATGCTTCAGAGGGCTGGTTCATAAAGCTGCTTCAAGAAAACAAAGGATTTGCCACTAAGAACCCCAAAAAGGCTCACCTATTTTATTTGCCGATAAGTTTCCGATTACTAAAGTTGACATTGTACGTGCCTGATTCTCACAACCGTACAAATATAATGCAATTTTTAAGTAACTATGTTGATATGATCGCGCAAAAGTATCGTTTCTGGAATAGAACAGATGGAGCTGACCATTTTATTGTTGCCTGTCATGACTGGGTATGTCTCCCATCCTTCCGTGTGATCTTAAATCCTGAATTAATATTAGAGAAGCATCTCATCCTTCTTGAATATATTCGTTGTTTGCTTATTTTGGAATCTCTATCAATGCAAATGTCATGGCTTACCTATTCTGAAATATGCTTTGAGTGCTATAGCATAACCTGATTTTCTTCTTCAGGCCCCTGCGGTGACAGATGAAATTATGAGTAATTGCATAAGATCTTTATGCAATGCTGACCTGAGAGGTGGCTTCCAGTTTGGTAAAGATGTGTCTCTACCACAACCGAACATTCGTTTGAGGACGAACCCTCTTGCTGAACTTGGAGGAAAGCCAGCTTCCAAACGGCGTACACTTGCTTTCTTTGCTGGACATATGCATGGTTATCTCCGCCCTATACTACTGAAGCACTGGGAAAACAGAGATCCTGACATGAGGATTTATGGTGGAATAACTAAGGCAAGCTATTTACGGTACATGAAGAGCAGCAAATACTGCATATGTGCAAGAGGTTCTCAAGTCAACTCTCCTAGAGTGGTAGAAGCTATTTACTATGGATGTATCCCGGTGATCTTATCCGATAACTATGTGCCCCCGCTCTTTGAGACTCTAAACTGGGAATCTTTTGCTGTATTTGTCCAGGAGAAGGATATCCCAAATTTGAAAAACATACTTCTGTCCATTTCGGATAAGAAATATAAGCAGATGCATGGAAGAGTTAAGCAGGTGCAACAACATTTTCTCTGGCACATTAAGCCTTCTAAATATGATGTTTTTCACATGATACTCCATTCAGTTTGGCACAACCGAGTTTTTGGAATAAGAGCTAGGTAATAAATGTAGATATACACTAGAGGTTGTAGACTTGAAGATGAAATAATAAATGGTGTACATTAGATATACAGTATGTTCCATTTTTGCTTCACTTTTAGCTTGTGTGGTACATAAACAACAGATTGGTGTTCTTATAAGATGTATTAAGAGTTCCGTGGCTTTTAGTATGTCAATGTTTCACCATGTGACTATTGCGGCCTGGTTGAATTGATCTGTTTATGTTAGTAAGCGGCAGGATGAACCTTATGAGTGAGACTTTTTGGTAACATCCTTGTCCCATATTCCAATTCCAAAGAGAGAGACTAAAGAGTAAGGAAGCAAAAGAGTGGCATTCAATATTTACTGATTGTGTTGTGGAAATGAAAATGTGAGCTACAGCTGATAATCAGAAGTACCTTTCAAGTGAACACTGCAATTTGGATTGGATGCACATGTGACACATGACACGGGCATGCAGATGAGGGTGGGTCGAGAAGGATGACTTACAGGGTTCCAAGTTGGAAAGCTTCTTAAAAAACGGTGCATTTGATACTTAGGCAAATGCCACATCAGGAAGGAGATCAAAGTGAAGTGCTATATAAGACAGATCACAAATTCACATGGTATGCGTGTTTTTGGGGTCGATATGAGAGAGCCTATATAGGAAAAATAAGAATAGGAGTACATACACTGCACCTCTCATTTGCTGCTAGTCTAAAGTTACACTTAATTGTGTAAGAAATGCAGAAAGTCCCCAAAACGATGAAAATTTTGTTTGATGTTTGGCATGATTACGAGAAGAAGAGGCCTAACGTGATGAAGAACCGCCTGTCAATATAGCCAGGATAACTGCCTAGCATAGCAACCCCACAAGGGAAATTAAGAAATAATACCCTTGTGGGAGGAGCGGTATGTAGGCAAGTCATCCTTGGCTAATAAACAAAGACTCTTCACTTCAGGTAAGGCCTCTCTTCTTAACATTTTAGTTTCTCTTGAATGCCTTGTCATGAGTTGTGGATTATTTGGTCTGTATTTATAGCCCAAAAAGAAATGTCAGATTCATTTTGGCACCAAGTCATGTGTGACCTTTCATTGCCAATATGCTTCAAACATAAAATGCTTCAGTCTCTTTTTCTACACAGTTCTGTAGCCTTGCTGCAAGAATATATTCTCATGGAATTGAAGGAAGCATTAAATTTATCTGGTCCTTCAAATCATTCTGACCAGAAGATAGGGATTATGGAATGTCAACCAATAAGACTTTTATCATATGGTTAGATATTTGAAATTTGACAAAATCTTATGCTCAAAAGTGGATGCAAATTCGTTGGGAATCAAATATCAACTTGATAGCAAGTTGACAATCAAAAGTTCAAAACCTTTCAAAGATGTATTGTTTGCTAATACTTCATGCCATTCTAGTCTTGAATTTAAAATAGAAAATGATCAACAAGAACACATTCCAACTTAAACAAAAAGAAGAAAAGTACTTAAATTACCATCAGTAAAGATTTAATCTCTGCTGGATTAGAAAAGTTTCTAAATGAATTTTCAAAATTGAAGACATGTGTGAGAAAAAAGATGCTCTTTATGACAATCTTTTCAAACGGAGATGTCAAAAAATGTTTGTACTACATAGTTGATGGCAACTGAAATACCCCTAGACTCTTCTCAACAACTTCCAATGCAGATTGTTCAACAAATCGAAAGAGTTAAAATTAACTCTCTTACTTTTAATGATCATCCTTTATGGACTGCCTCATCAGTAGATGAGAGATTCACTCTTAACTCTGCTTGGAACGTACCATATCAGGGAGAAACACAACACCTTGTTGGTTGATAAGATGTTGTGGCACAAGCAGTGTCCTTTTAAAATTTCATTCTTTCTTTGAAAGACTCTGAGACATAGAGTTGTTGTGGATACTAATGTTGGAAGATTTGGAGTGTCTCTTCCTTCAAAATGTTCTTGTTGTACTGCTAACTTAGTAGAAGAAAACTAAGGAACATCTTCTCATCAGCAGTTAGATTACCCATTATCTTAACCATCTGTTTGGTATTAGAGAAGGCAATCCAGGGCCAAGTTGAGGTGGAGGAATTATTAGAAATAAGAACAGAAGGGCCATTGTGGCATATGCTATGCCTCTTGGCGTTGAGACGACTAACAACTTTGTTGAGACCATGGCCTTGTTAGATTGGACTCATATGGTGCATTAACAAAGGAATCAGGAACTAGAAATTGAGAGTGACCCTCTACATCTGATTAACTGGCTAACCAAGGATACCAAAATCCTATGCAAGATCACGCTAGAGACATTAAATCGATGAGATGGGACTGAACTATGTAATTCTCTATGTCACTATTTTATTGTTGCTGTTACTATCTTATATTGTTGTCTTGTTCAATCAAATAATTTAGGTAATTTAGGACAGAGTGTAGTGATTGCTCTCTGGTGGTACTCTTACCTCATTCTTGTTAGGAAAGGTAATCACAAATAAATGTGTACGACAAGGCAATAGCGAAAGAAAACTCAAGTCCAAAATTTTCTTTCTATTTGAACCAAGAGAAGACAAACTAATGCAAGAACAATACTGTTTGAGCAGCAAACAAATAAACCAAAGAAACAAGACAAAGTAAAGTCAACACATGAGACACCAAGATTAACGTGAAAAACTTCTTCGGGTTGAAGAGTAAAAACCACAAGGCTAAGGCTCTACTAAAATCAACAAGAGTTACAAGTGTGTTTTCCAAACTAGCCACCAACAAAGTGTCAAACAATGAGCAACACAACTACAAGATAGCACCAAAAACTAGAGAAATAAAAGGAGTAAAATCACTAACGGCAGCTACTGTTCACGAGCTAAACTCTGGAGCTACAAGACTCCAAATCCAGCTCTCTTAGTTTCCAATTAAAGAATCAGTTGAAAGGAACAAGCTGTCCAAAAATCAGCTCAATTAGACAAGGAACGAAGCGGGAATCACGATTTGAAATTAGCTGCTAGGGCTTGTGCGAAAATCTGCACTCTTTCACTTTTCTCTATATGACTGCTGACCAGTCTCTTGTGAAACTTGAAAATAAGATCTAAAAGAAAGTCTTACATATGCACCATAATATTGGGCTTATGAACAAAAATGGGCTACTCCAAATTGGACTTTTATTTATCCATATAGGAAAGGAAAAAGACCCAAACCCCACAATTCTTGGCAACTGATATGAACTAGTTAGCTGTAGAATGATAGATATTCAAGTCCATCAATCCATGACACTGGCCTCCTGAATATTTGCAAAGATGCAAATGAACTAGGTAGATCTGTTTCATGGTTTAATAGTTGCAGATGAACCAAAATTTAATGTTTTATAGCTAAATTTCATACGACTTGTTTAGTTTGTCCTTGTGTTATTCCTTTTCAAGGTTTACAAAATAGAGACCTATCTCAGAGTTCATTACAGATTTCTCTTAAGTGATTGTTCTCCAACTAAAAAAATGAGTCATGTAAGATTATTCTCTTCCCAAAGCAATCTGAGTGCATACTGCATACATCTCTTGTCATTTAATGTGGTGCATGTAAATTGTAATTCTTACATGTCCTCGGTACTCAAATGACCTGAACATGTAACCCATCATGACTCTCTTATTGGAAACTCATTGTTGAGTAATGTCAACATCTTGTCTATGGCAAGGCCCACGAGGGGCTGGGTGGCCCGGGTCAGAGTCTTGATCGAACATGACGCTTGCTTGGTAGACTTAGTTAAGAAATAAAGGTGCGTCTTTGCTATCAGCTATAGCTTTTGGCATGATGGTAAGCACTTGATCTTAACTAGTGGTATCAGAGCCAAGGTCGTGGGTTCAATTCCCAAGAGCAACGTTTTGCATGAGGCAGGTGTTGGGAGGGGGATTGTTGAGTAATGTCAACATCCTGCCTATGGCAAGGCCCACGAGGGGCTGGGTGGCCCGGGTCGGAGAGATTGCAATTTCAATGAACGTGGGATACTTCGGCCACCCGAGTCTGCCTTACATTCTATTCGAGTACCTTTCTTATATATGTACTCACGTCTCTTTTGCCGAGGCACTGCCAGTGGCGAAGCCAAATTTTTTACTAAGGGAGTTCAAAATATGAAGAAGTACATGAAGAAATCGAAGGAAATTCAACATCTACTATATATATATATATATACATAAAAATAATTTTTTAATCATATATAAATAGTGTAATTTTTTGTACCGCCAAAGGGGTTCGAATATATCCCTTGGGCCTTTACTAGCACTGTCCGTGAGTGCTGCATTCACAATGGAGGTTCAGAGGCATGTGATGGCATGTGTTAATTAAGTGGCCAAGAGGAGCCTAAAACAAGGTATTTTTTTCTGTAGGTGAACTTAAGTTTGATCTTGAAAATGTCACTTATTCATGTGATGGCATGACCCATATCACTTGTGTACCAAAAATAAAATTGCCAATATCACTTATTCCTGACCTTAAGCATTTGGACATTTGATCATGCAGGGGCAACAAGCTGTGACCCTTTAGTGTTTAATTGCAATCATTATTTTGTAAATTTTATTATTCAGGAGACAAGAACATTAACTCCATTGCAAGTGCAAGGCATGCATTGAATGTGCATGTAAGGAAGCTAAAAAAAACAACCAATTTCACTCTTGATTTGATAAACTTGGACTAAACTATCACTTCTTCACACTTCAAGTACTAATATGTAATATGTATTAATTTCATCTATCTGCATCCTGTTGTTTTGCAAATTAATTAAAGCTAAAAAATATATGTTGATGGTGGCAAGTGATTTTTTGTTATCATCACAAGGATGAAAGATTGGAGGTGTCAATTGTTGACAAAATGACATGATCTAGTGATTAATGGTTAACAATGTGACAACATATTCTCATTGTCACAAAGTCAAGCTAGTAATTAGTGATGTTTTTATGTTTCCATTTTATTTTAAAATAAGTGATATAGATTTACATAATCCAGAAACACTACTAAAGAATTATATGTTTTTCAACATATGTAACGAGAGTGAGTAAGTAAAAATAATGTCACTTTTTGAAAACTAGTTTTGACGCACGTGCGTTGCACGTGAATATCAAACCATGTATTATATTAATAATAATGCGAATATTATTAAATTAAAAAATTATGTAAACAATTATAAAATGAATGATAAAGTATAAGTTCCTATAA